TCAGCTTCGGTCCACAGTACCTCCTGCCTTCACGTTCATCTTCACACAAAGATGGGTGCCCCGGGGCATAAGTGCCGCTTTACTTCCAGCCCCAGAAGTACTTGACCGGAGAGAGGAAGGGAAGATCCTGGCTGTAGCCCAGGTAAAGTCAGGAGCCGGAGGTGGCCAGCCTGTCCCAGGCATCTCAGCCTGGCTGGCCCTGGCCTGGGGGCTGCTCAGTGGACACTGGGGTAGTGCAGTGCTTGTTGGGGCCTCCCCCTTCCCCTGGAGACAGAAACCACCCCCACCCCCACCCCCGAGGCAGCTTGGCCTGAGCCTGAGTCCATGAGCTGGGGGCGCTAGGAGCTCAAGGAGAACAACTATGCTTTGCAGGCAGACTCGCGTGTGTCGAGGGGCTGGCGTTGCAGGCACGCAGCCTGGGTTACACTCGCATTCCTGTCTCCCCGGGATCAGACCTTGTCTGACTCGCTGCATCTCTGGGAGCCTCGGGGTTCTCCCATTGTGCGACTTCCCCACGTGTGCCGGTGGGGAGGGCCGAATGGGGCTCATCAGTGTGTGCAGTGGCATCTGGGAGGCGCCCAGGGAAATGGCTGTGTTCCTCTCATCAGGCCCGGAGAGGGGCTTTGCCGGCATGGCACAGGTGAGACGCGGCCTCCCGGTGGTGCCAGATTCCTGCCTGCGGCTGGCCAGCTCTCCCCAGAGGGTCAGGCCCAGGCCAGCGCTGTGCTGTCTTTGCCTGTCTCAGTCAGGGACCATACCTGGTAGACACACAGCTTGTTGGACAGAGTGGGGTGACCCCACCTTTTCTGAGGGGTCCCTGCCACATACATTGTAACCCAGCCTCTCCAACAGTCTTAACCTGTGCTGTGCCCTGTTGCCAGGGTTACTTTCACCCCATACTCACCAGGCCTCTGCAGACAGAGCCCACCTTCCCCATACTCAGTGACAGAGCAGGGTTCTCTGTCACTCCCTGCACCTGTGGCCTGGAGGGACCCCTTCCCCCACAATGCTTCCCGCTGACACACACCCACTTTGAGGGGCCACACAGGACACTGGCTGCAGGTGGACTGTGGTTTTCAGTGGGACAGCTCCATTAGAGCCTGCTGTTCCCCCTGGGGTGGGAGCACAGGGCCATGCCTGTCACCTGTTTGCTCACCCAGTGCCCGGCAGCACTGGGCACTTCACAGATGCTCTGCACGCTCTGTGGAGTCTGTGCTGAGGGCCAAGGAGCACAGGGCCACGCTCCGAGTTACCCTCTGTAACGCCATAACCTGGTGGTGCTGGTGGGGTTACCACCGTCACTCTATGGCAGCTTCACTTAGAGGTGAAGTGACCCCCCCCAAAGGTCGCACAGCCGTGAAGGGCTGACGCCATCCCCACCTGCTGTGCTCTGCATCGGGCACTGCGGTAGGGCCTGGGTGGGGCCACAGGAGACAGGAAGAACAAGTGCCATGGAGGGGGCCAGAAGCAGAGAGTGGTGGCAAGAGCAGGGCCCAACGCAAGCAGAAGCCCAGGGAGAGGCGAGGCAACCCCTGCGGGCTTGGCCTGGCAGGACAGCACGGATGGGGCAGGGCAGGAAACGGGCACCGCACCAAGGGGCTCCCAGAAACAACCACTTGTCTAGAACGCCTTTTCAAGGAAGTGCTTGCTTTAGTCTACTGTTGGACATGCTGCTTTTCCTGATTACAGAATCAATCCAGGAGAGTACTCTGAGATGCTCACGGGAGGGGCAGGCATCCGGGGCAGCCGTTACAGCGGCACTTGGGACACCTACATCCCGCTATCAGAGTACCCGGGTTCAAGTCCGGCTCTGCTGCTGACTCCAGCTTCCTGCTAATGCACACCCTGGGAGGCCACAGGTGATGGAAGTGATGGCTAAATCGGGTCCCTGCAGCCTATCTAGGATTACCCAGATCAAGTGGCTGGCTCCTGGCTTCAGCTGGCCCTGCCCCAGCTATGGCAGGCATTTGGGAAGGGAAGATCTCCAGGTGGAAGATCTCTCTTGTCTCCCTGTCTTTCAAATAAACAAAAATAAATTTAAAAATAAGGGGGAAAAGTTCATGGAAAACTGAATGGTTTTAGCACAAAAAAATTTTAAATCCAGTTTTTACATAATACGCATTTTTACAAATTCCTTGAAGACTCCTAAGATGCACAGATCTCAGGGTTTTAGCACCAGAATAAACTTCCCTTCTAAGCCAATTCCCGTGAACTTTCTGAAGCACCCTCCTAACTACCCTTGCATTTTCGTATTTCCTTCCTATCTTCTTGTGCATTCGTTTCCATGGCACTCTATGCATATATTTCTGATAAAATTAGAATCAAGTGTTTATCTTTTGTTCACTTAATGTTGTATCATGGGCATTTTCTCACAGTGCTCAACATCAGTTGAAAACTTGATTTTAAAAAAATATTTGTATTAGTCAATTTCGCATTACTGTGACAAAATCCCCAAGGCGGTCTTCCTATTTTAAAAAGAGCGTTTATTTAGCTCACAGTTTGGAAGCCGAAGGTCCACGAGTGGGAGGCCCTGGGTTGGACTGCGGGAGGGTCTAGGTACCTCTGTACCACAGCAGGAGCAGACTGGAAGCCCAGGAGATGCAGGGGGCAGGCTTTCCTAAGAACTCGCATTGTGAGCGCTCAGGAGGCTAGGGTCCCCTGTGCCCTCCCAGTGTATCCCATCTCTTTTGAACTGTATTTATTTAAAAAGCAAAGTGACAGAGAGAGCAAGATCTGCTGGTTTACTCCCTAGATGGCTGCAATGGCCAGGGCTGGCCCAGGCCAAAGCCAAGAGCTTCATGCGGGTCTCCCAGGTGGGTGCAGGAGATGGATCAGAAGCCGAGCAATCAGGACAAACTGGCGTCTGTGTGGGATGCTGGCATCGCAGACGGTGGCTCTACCCATCATGCCACAATGCCAGCCTCATAGATGCTCTTAAGAATCAAATGGAGGGGCCGGTGTTGTAGCGTAGCAGGTAAAAGCCGCCGCCTGCAGTGCCAGCCGCACATGTGGGTGCCGGTTCCAGTTCCAGCTGCTCCACTTCCAATCTAGATCTCTGCTGTGGCCTGGGAAAGCAGTGGAAGATGGCCCAAGTCCTTGGGCCCCTGTACCCACATGGGAGACCCAGAAGCTGCTCCTGGCTTCGAATTGGTTCAGCTCTGGCCATTGCTGCCATCTGGGGAGTGAATCAGAGGATGAAAGACTTCTTTCTCTCTCTCTCTCTGCCTCTGTCTGTAATTCTGCCTTCAAGTAAATAAATATTTTTAAAAATGAATCAAACAGAGATGCCAGCATGGTGTTGTAGAGGGTAAAGCTGCCGCCTGCAGTGCCATCCCATATGGGCATTGGTTCAAGTCTCGGCTGCTTCAGTTCCCATCCAGCTCTCTGCTATGGCCCAAGTTCTTGGTCCCTTGCACCCATATGGGAGACCTGCAAGAAGCTCCTGGCTCCTGGCTTTGGCCTGGCCCAGCCCGAGGCCATTGCAGCCACTGGGGGAGTAACCAGCAGATGGAAGATCTCGATCCCTTCTGTCTCTGCCTTTCAATAAAAATTTTAAAAACAAAAAAGAACCAAATGAAATCCTGAAATCCACTTCTTCCCTCAGGCTTTCCTCTGGGAAACATCTTCTAAGGCAAAGCGCACACACTCCTGGCCAGCACACCCAACGAGGGGCTGAGACAGGAGAGGGCTGCACCAGGGCCGCAGGGCAGGACAGCAAACCTCAGTGTGGGGACATGCCGTGGGGGAACACCCCCTGTTCCCAGGGCAGGGTGTAAATACAGTTCAAGTGAACCGTGACGAGCCGATCTCACCAGGGCCCAGGGCCCACAGGGTCTGAAAAACCATGGTCATTATTTCATTTCATATTTGGAAAATTAGACGAGGGAATTTTCTTGGCATGACACATTTAACATGGTAACTTTAACAAAATCTTGGCTGGAAGGGCCCGGTTTTAACAGCCTGGGAAACATTTTTCTTGTTTACTTATTATGGTCGACAATATTTTATCTCTAAAAAAAAATCTTCAGGATATTTTTAGTAACTGTTTCTTCCTGATTTCTCTGCTCTTCGCTGTGGCAACTGTTCGCTTTCAGACTTCATTCATACATTCATCCAGTCACGGGTCCAATAAACTATTCCTAATGAAGCCTGTTTGCCGAGCGCTCTGCTAAGCCCTGGGAAGAGTGGTGAACAGACTGACCGTCTAGCTAGAGACGAAAAAATAAACAAAGTGATTTACCCAAGTAGGAAGACCACTACTACCTGGATGATAAACACTCGCTGTGTTGCTGCTTTAATACGTAGTATTCGAGAGCATTTTTCCTATCACTAAAAGTTATTCAAAAACCGTTTTAAAAACTTCCCTAGGTGTTTGTTCCACAGAACACGCTGATTTCTTGAAAAATTCATCTGCCGAGGCCCTGCCTGCAGGCAGGGGCCACAGGGGCCACAGAGCGTGTGCTACGGCCACACAGCCTGGGTCCAGGTGGCGGCTCTGCCCCTTAGCAGCTGCCTCCAACCCCTCCGTGCCTCAGCTTCGCTCGTGGCCACACTGCTACGTGGCGGGTGGAAACAGAATACTCGTCCCAGGGCCGTTGTGAGAATGAAATGAAACAGCAGGGGACAGTCACGACGCTCCCTGCCCCGTGATCAAGCCACAGAAACAGGCTGTGTGCTCTTTTTATTGGAGTGTCTGGGTCTGGTGCACTTGCGATAGAGAAAAAGATTTTTAGATGCCACCTTCTAGAAAAGGGGGAGAAAGTAGTGTAGGAGCGAGAGGAGGGGGAGAGGGCTGGGAGGAGGGGAGACAGGCGAGGGCAGCAGGAAGAGTGACAAAGGAGGAAGGGTCCCGTGTGCCAGGGCGGGTAAACCAAGGCACACGAGCAGCCCAGTTCTGGGCATCTGGGCCCACTTGGTAAGCACAAAGATGCAGGCGGGGCGGTGCAGCGCGGGCCCCCCAGCACTCACGCCGCCTTCCTGTCCCGTCCTGTCCCGCGCAGAGAGCGGCTTCGCAGACACCATGACGCCGGCTCGCCTCAGCCAGGCCCGCTTCAACGCCTGCCTGCCGCCCAGCAGCCACGACGCCGCCAACTTCGACAACAACGAGCTCGAGAACAACCAAGTGGTGGCCAAGCTGGGCCACCTGGCGCTCGGCCGCGCCCCGGGCCCGCTGCCTGCCGACGCCGCCGTCGCCGCCGCCGCCATCCCGTGCGGACCCCGCGAGCGCGCCAGGCCCGCGTCCTCGCCGGCGCTGCTCGAGGCCGACCTGCGCTTCCACGCCACGCGCGGGCCCGACGTGAGCCTGTCGGCCGACCGCAAAGTCGCCTGCGCGCCGCGCCCCGACGGCGGCCGCACCCTGGTCTTCAGCGAGCGCCCGCTGCGGCCCGGCGAGAGCCTCTTCGTGGAGGTGGGGCGCCCGGGGCTGGCGGCGCCCGGCGCGCTGGCCTTCGGCATCACGTCGTGCGACCCGGGCGCGCTGCGGCCTGCCGAGCTGCCCGCCGACCCCGACGCGCTGCTCGACCGCAAGGAGTACTGGGTGGTGGCGCGCGCCGGGCCCGTGGCGAGCGGCGGCGACGCGCTCAGCTTCACGCTGCGGCCCGGCGGCGACGTGCTCCTGGGCGTCAACGGACGCCCGCGCGGCCGGCTGCTGTGCGTCGACACCACGCAGGCGCTCTGGGCCTTCTTTGCCGTGCGCGGCGGCGCCGCGGGCCAGCTGCGCCTCCTCGGTGAGTGCCCGAGGGCCAGCCCCGAGAGCGGTCCCCACCCCGAGAGCGCGTGCCTGTCCCCGCGGTGCGCCTCCGGCTTCCTGTGGCTCTGATGGAGGCTATTGGGCTGTTAAAAAGGCAGTGACATGCACTGCGTGTTCGGTGTAGGAGAAAGAGGAGATTCAGCTACTGTCCCCGGATGGCGCAGTGGACGCCTGATCTCTGCTGTTTGGAGGGGATTCTGGCCTTGGCTCACGCCATTGATAGGCTCTGCAAGTGACTGGCTGCGGGCCAGACCCGGGCCGTCAGACAGGGCGCACAGGGGACAGGCCCCCAGTCCCAGACAGCTGCATGGGTGACCTTTGAATCCCCCGGTGGCCGAGGGAGGGTGGTGGTCAGGGAAGTTTTGCAGAGAGCGCAGCTCCGTTTTCAGGGTTGGAAAAAACAGGTGCAGATAGCAAGGCCGTCAACATCTCGGGTGTTCATCTCACTGCGTTTTATCCTCCCCGGGGATACTAGGAAACCACTCTCTACATCCACAAGATAATTCAGGCACAGAGAGATTAAGTGGCAGCCCCAGAGTCTCCTGCTGGTCAGCCGCGAAGGTGCTGGCCAGGTCGCAGACTCCCTGAGCCTCGGCTTCCTTCCCTGGAGAGAGAGTGATGCTGCAGGCTGCTTACCATGGCTTTAGCACTTGTCTGAGGCCCTTGCTGGATCAGCGGGCCGTGGTAACTTGTAGCTGCCCGAGGGCAGAGGAGAAGCAGGCCTCCAGTGGTGGGCGCTGGGCCAAGTTCTCTTGTTCTTGTGGGTTTTTTGGACCACCAGACATAATGGTGATTGCAACCTGACATGAGTTGCCCAAGGTCTTGTTAGGGCTTTGTGGGAAGGTGGCCTAGGGTCCTCCTCAGGCCCTTCCCCGGCACCTCTGGAGAAACGGGGATGAAGCCTCCAAAGGCCAGGAGGAGAAGGTGCAGAGGAGGGGACTTGCCCTCCCGACTCCTGCCTCCCAGCAGCCTCAGCGCTACCTGACCTGTCTGGCATTCTCCAGGTGGGAAAGGCAGGAGCCAGCACTCTCCCTCCTGACCGGAAGCGGGCTTGGGAAGGTAACTCGCTCATGTTGAGCACGAGTGAGCAGGCAGCGTGTGGTGGCAAAACCCCATCCAGACTGCCCAAGCTAGACGGGGAGTTTGTAGGGTGCACACAGCCCAGAGGTCTAGGCGTGAACTCAGGGAGAGCCGATCTCAGCGTTGACAGGACCAACATCTCAGCAGCTCTGCTGCCTTCACTCTCACTTGGGGTCCTGCCGCAGGGTGACTCCGCCAGCGCCAGGCTCACCTCCCCACGGGCAAAGTCCTGTCTTTCCCCAACAATTTTAGTAAAAGTGACAGAATCGGGCCTTGGCAGCCTTACCTAAAGCACTGTTGAGACCACGCAGTGGACGTTCTCACTGGGCTGGGCTGGCTCATATGCATGGGGGGTGGGGCAGCAGTCCTGTCCCAAAAGGACGTGCTCGTGCTGTGTCTGAGATGAGCAGGAAGAGAGGACAGGCAAGCAAAGAACCAACGTCCACCGGGCTTGGCAGGAGCTGTGCAGGCCTTAGCAGGTACCCGTGACATAGCTCCTGTCCTCTCATGGGGCACACAGGGACCTTCTGGTACCCAGTGCTGACCAAGTGGGGACTAGCAAGGCAGAGCCAGCCTCACACTGCCCCTCATGGAGTCTCTCTGGCCCTCAGGTACCCTACAGTCCAGTCCTGCAACCACAACTCCATCCGGGTCCTTTAGCGGCTCCCAAGACGATAGCGACTCAGACATGACCTTCAGTGTCAACCAGTCCTCCTCGGCGTCTGAGTCATCCCTGGGTAAGGAAATGCTACCCACCCCCATCCCCCACCGTGGGGCCAGCTGGCTTGGCTCCTGCAGCTGTGCCAGTGGCCGTGGCCTTCCGGGGTCTCCTCCCCGCTGCAGGAATCTTCTTCTGTCAATTGGAGGGAGGAGAGACCCTTAGATATGGCCTCCCAAAGGGCACAATGGCAGCATTGATCCTGGTGCTTGGCATCATAGCAGCGTAGAGGAGGGTGGAATCCTGAAAAGTGAACCCAAATTGGCACCTCCCAGAAGTGCTCCCTGCAGCGGCTCCACCATAGTGACACAGCCTTCTTGGGGTTGGCCCGTGGGAGCCCACCAGAGAACCACGTTACTAACCTGTGTCTTGTTCTTGCTTTTGGCAGTGACAGCCCCCAGCTCCCCGCTGAGCCCCCCAGTGTCCCCTGCTTTCTTGCCCCCGGAGCCAGCAGGCAGCAAGAACAGTGAGTGCACAGTGTGCTTTGACAGCGAGGTGGACACGGTCATCTACACGTGCGGACACATGTGCCTGTGCCACAGCTGTGGCCTGCGGCTCAAGAGGCAGGCCCGGGCCTGCTGCCCCATCTGTCGGCGGCCCATCAAGGATGTCATCAAGATCTACAGGCCATAACCTGGCCGCCGCCGCCGGGCCTTGGCCAGAGCAAGGTCCTCTTGTGAAGCCCCACTGGGCTGGGCAAGCACCCTGGCTGCCTGAGAGTCCAAAGGCAGCGGCCGTGTCATCTGCCACTCTCCAGTGGCGTCCAGTCGTGGAGATGAGGCCCTGGGGGGTCTGAACCCCGGCTCTAAAGTGCTTTGCCCCCGAGAGCAAGCTCAGGAACTGCCTGGCAGAGTGCCCTGTCCCTCGGTGACCTTGCAGCCGGGAAACAGCATCCTCCGTGCGAAGCTTATTTCTGGGGCTGGGACTGAGTGTGTGTGAGGGAGGCGGGGCGCAGAGCGAGACGAGAGCGCATGGGTGTTTTATGCAGGGAGCCTGGCTGTGGGAGATGGACAGGTAGGAATGTGCAATGCAGAACCCAGATGTTAGCGTAACTAGAAATCATTCACTTTCCCTGAACGTGACCTAAGCTGGTTTTGAACGAGCAAAGCTTGAACCTAAACAGAACTCCTTGGATGCTATAGAAAAAAAAAGAGACACTCAGCGTTTCTAAGGGGAGGCAAAAAACAAAACAAAACAAAACAAAAAAAAACTCATTGTTTACAGCTCCAAGGCAGCAGCTCCTCGGGGGAGGTGAGTGGAGAACATCGGGGGGCAATCCGCCGTCGTGGGTTCTTGCGCCATCTTGCACTGCGATTTTGGTGGCTGCTGCGTGGCTGAGCTCTGGTCTTCTCGCCCCTTCCGCCCAAGACAGTGTAATAAGCACACCGCACCTTGACTTGTCTAGATGCTTTCGGATCTTGTCACTTCCCTCCCCGTGTCCAGGAAGCAGACAGGAGGCAGGGTTTCTTGTCCTGGGGGTGGGCGATGCTCCCAGAGGCAGGTGGCTCCTGCGCATGTGGCTCTCTCTGTTTCCTAGTGTGACCCCAGGCCTGGCCAACAGGGACTTGTGGGTATTTCCAGAAGGCAGAGGAAGCAGGGCTTGGTCACTGGTCTTTGTTCTGGTTCTCTGTTTAGGAAGCTTCCCTTGCCAGTCACCAGGGTGTTCCCTGAAAAGCGCGTTAACTAGCAATTGAGACTTTTACTGAAAATGTGGACGCTGGGATTTCTCCCCCTTGCTGGGTGTATCTGCTGATGTTTGCTAGGAAGCTGGCCCTGCTCCTGCCCGCTCACCGCTGCCTGTGGTCTCTGCAGGCTCCAGCACACGCCTGGGCTGGCTGACTGATCCAGGCCTGCCCCTCCCTCCCAGCCCCCAGTTCTGGACCCTCCATCTGCCCTTACTGCACCTTCAGGGAAGTGCTTTGACCGCTCCGATTCTCAGTTAGCAGTCAGAAGTCTAGTACCTGACCCGTGCAAGGGCCCTCAGGACCAGCACGACATTCTCAAAGGCTGGGGACGCCTGGAGAGGGGCAGTGGGCATTTTTATCCCCATTCCTAACCTGTGCGTCTCTTGCTGAGGAAGGTGAGAGAAGAGGGTATTCAGGGAGTTAGCAATGAAGCACCAAACATTGGCTGTTTGCGGAGGGGGTGGGTGCCCAGGGCCAGGCCAGGCTCTCTCGAGATGCCTCCCACAAGGGTGGTCTGAGCCGGAGCTGTGCTTCTCTGCCTGGGCGTAGGCATGGATTTCTGACCAGACCTCCCCTTCAGAGGAAACCCTGCTCTCTTGACTGGCTGGAGCCTGTGATGGGTTCTTCTTCCCTGGTGAATTTGGGGAGCGTGCCCACATTTTGATTTCACAGCAGGTCTTTGGAGGAGCTGCTCCTGGAACTCCAGTGTCTGCCAGAGTAAGAGCTGGGGATTCTGGGCAGCCCAGGGGGCACAGCTGGAGCTCTGGGCCTCCCCCTGTGCTGGCTGCAGGGGGAAGTGGACAAAGTCCCTGGCTGGGAGGGTCCTCAGACACTGCCCCTCCCCCCCCAGCCCCATGGAGACCGTCGCTGGCTCTGGTGGGCTGCTTCCAGGGACAGCCAGTTTGCCCCCTCTCCCACCCCACCCCCAGCTGCCACCTTGAGTCTCAGCTAAGGTCATGAACAGCCGCCACCAGGAAACCAGTGACTGCGGGTAAACCAGGAGTGTGCTGGCCACCGTCACCTGTTGAACCTGCTCTGCAGCTGCTTTAATAACTTTCCTGCTTCTAAGAGGAGTTAGGGGGTGTCTGTCCTGAGCAGAGTCGTTCAGAGCTAAGGAGGAGATGCTCAAACCCCACCTCTGTTGAGAAGGGGCGGGGTGGGGGGGGGACCACCTGTTAACTCCACACCTACTACGTGCCTTGGCACTGGGCTAGAACAGGGCCTGCCTGCATTAGTCCTGTGAGGCAGGTCTTAGGGCCGTTCCGAGTCCATGCAAGACATTGCTGATTACAAAATGCCACCAATGTACGTGCCACTAAGGACAAGATGCAGCCAGCCCTGCCTGTAAGATACCACTGGACAGTGCATTCCCATCAGAGGTGCTGGTGTAGGAGAACGTGCTACTTAGAGTCGGGAAGAAGGGTGGTAGGGAGGGGCACTGAGGTTCTGCGGGTGAAGTGACTTCATAGTCATGCACCCGGGGGTGGCAGGGCTGGGAGTCTGGTGCCGCATTCCGTGCTGGCCACAGCCTGGCCCCGGGTCCCAGAGAGCCCCAGACCGAGTCCTCCTCCCTGAAGCTCACGCAGAGGAGCCTGGGCACGCTCCTGCACACACCCCACTAGGACAGACGTCCGTGCCTTCAGGTCCACTGTGTGTACTCACCTTCTCCAAGGGGAGCTGAGCTGTCTGGGGTCTCAGCTGCAGCCCGAGGACCTTCTATTACACTGGGGCACCCGCGTGGAACAGCTGTGCCCATGGGGTGCCCTTGGAGCGTCAGCAGCAATGCCAGGATGGGGGATGCCAGCAAATGCACTGCTCGCTGTGAGCAGGGCTGTTTGCAAGGGGAGACAAGCTCCTTTTTCTAGTGTGTTCCGAGTGAGTCTTTGGGGTTTAGCAGGGGTGGCAGGTCCCCCAACTGCAGCACATTTGTCAGCCACTCAGCACCCACGGAACACTGATCAGCATGGGCCGTGTTCTGGGCGGATGACAGAGCCGTGCCGGAGCTCAGTGTGCAGAGGACATGGACAGATTTCATCAGCGTGGCTCTGGCCCTGTGGTGTGAGGTCCCGGGCCAGCGTGTGCTCGGTACTCAGGAGAGGTCTACCCATCAAGTGGAAGCCACGTGATGAGCGGTCAGGAGGGTTGGTCAAACAGCGCTTCTTCCATAACACACACAAAGTCACTCAACAAACATGCTGAGCACCTACCAAGTGTGGGGTGCTGGGAGGAAGGGCAGGAGGACACTTCCCCAGCTCTGATGCCATTGATGGCAACCTTAGGAGGTTCATGAGATATTTGGGGCACAGTCCTTGGGGCGTTCTCGGCCCTCCTGTTGCCTTAGGTCCATGTTGGGGCGTGCCCAGGGACTGCTTGCCCGGTCCACAGCCTCCTGCATGCTTTGTTCGAGGTGCCGGGCCCCTTGCGGCCAGTGAGCTGCTGCCCAAGCCGCCTTCAGCAGAGCCCCCTAGGGCGGCCGTGGGCCTGCCATAGCGACCCTGTGGGGAGGGGGCCACCTGCTGCTTTCAGGCCCCAGGAGAACCCCAAGTGTGTGATGCCGGTTCAGAACAGAGTTGTGCAAAGTTGGGAATGAGAGGCCATACCCTCCCACTCTCGGTCCCACCCCTGCCCCAGCTCCAGCTGGGTAGGGGCAAGGGGGACCCACCGGCTCAGGAACACGCGGCCTGCCAGCGTTTCCCAGTGTTTCGCTGTCTGGCTGACTTAGCCGAGTCGTCAGTGGAATGACCTGTACAACAATCGGTGCCTTATGAAAGTGTCTGTGCACTTTTTATCCTTTGTAAAACAACTTTTAAAAAGTGGGCGGGGGACCAGCAGATGGAGTGGATTCTGGAAATCTGTGATGAGCACCTAACTCTTCCACATTCTGATCCTGATGTTGCCGTGAAAAGGTGCCCGGCCCCCAGCCCACGCCCCACTACCTGTGTACAGGCCTTTGGAAATCTGTCCTTTTTTCTCCTCCTTTTTCTGATTCAATGCTGTGACCACTCCCATACAGTCTAATCTTCGGGGATCTGTAATAAAGGGTTTCAGACTTAGAGGAGCGGGTTGGGAGGGGTTTGCACTGGCCTTTGTGTGTTGTGGTTTTGTGTGTTGTGTGTTCTGATTTTTGTCTGTTTTTATCTGTTTTATATTAACATAATTTTCCTGTTTAAAAAAACAAATACAACTTTGGCTTGTTAAAAAAGTCTCATCAGAACTCCATTTTTATAGTCACACTTGTGCACCTGTTGGGGAGTGGAGGGACTCGGATCGCTGTCACCTTGGGGAAATGGCAAAATGCCTCTAGACCTTGGCAGTGCTGGGCTGCTTCACCAAATAACTCACTTATTGCAGGGAAATAATTCTGACCAATATTAAGCTTAAAAGATGTTCATCACAGCAGTATTTATAATGGTTAAAAAAAAAAAAAAAACACTAAGCAACCCTAATGTCCAAGGACCAGAACATCCTCACCAAAACTCCTGGTCACAAGTGACAGGAACCCAACAGGGACAGGTTTAAGGGGGTAAAAGGCTCAAGTGTAAGTGGATCCAGGAGTGGCAGTCTGCGTCAGGATTTGGTGGCTGCCAGCCCGCTCTGCCCTCTTGCATGCTGGCCCCACTCTCAGGCAGGTTTTCAGAATGACAGTTGGCAGGTGCACCCACCTCTGAGCAGTCCCTGGGTAGGACACCTCAGATCTGGTGTCCTTTCCTGAGCCAATCACCGAAACCAAGGGAACCCCGGTTCTACTGGCCAGACCCAGGAGGCACGCTCACCTGCCCCCAGCTGAACCCTGTGCACCGGAAGTGGGGAGCTGCTTCCCCAGGGAAAGCTGCAGCGATGAAGGGTGCACGCAGGGCAGGCCCAAGCCACAGACGTCCCTGTAGAGAAAGACTGACTGATCCATGATGCAGACATGTGCGTGGCTCATAGACTCTCACCCTCACTGAGACATGGGGCCTCTCTGTGCCTCGGTTCCCTCTCGTGAAAAGCAGGAATCCTGATCGCTTCTGATCGGAGTGATGGGTGTGAGCCTTATTAAGATCAGGCCAGTGATGTGCGCGGCACAGCATCTCACACTCAGAAACAAGCCACAGTTGCTGGAAGAGTCTAGAATACAGGAACGTGGCTATGTTAAAATAAGGTGGGAAAATCAAAGTATAAAGTGGCACGTACACTCTGGGCTCAAGGATGGAAAAATAGACAAACCTGCCTGTGTATTGGAAAGACCAGCAGAAAAGAAGTAAAATGCCCACGAGGGCCGTGTCTGAGCGATGGCATTATTGGTGGGGCCTTCTTGTCCCTGTGTTTTCCAAATTTTCTATAATGAATAAGTATGGCTTTTAATTTAAACTTGCTCCTTGCAGGGGGAAAAATTATCCCCCTCCTTTGCAAAAAAAAAAAAAAAAATCAAACCAAGGAGAACAGCTGGCCCCAGCTGGACTTTGTCAGGAATTCCCAGGCTGATTGTGCTTTAAGACCCAGATCAAGTCCAGGGGGAGATAAGGCCCCGCCAAGCTCACCAGCTTGGTTGTGCTTCCCCCCAGACCAGGCTTTCGGGCCAGATTTCTGGGCGGGAGCCTTGCAGTGGCGTCTTGAATGTGTGTGTGGTGGGGCGGGGGGGGGGGGGGGGGTGGAGCAGCAGCTGCCAGGCTGCTCTGCGAGGCAGTGCTGGAGTAGAAGGGAAGCTGCATCCATCAAGCCACAGAGACGAGTTCACGGCATTCGCAGTGTGGATCTGCACAGCAGTGTTTTCCTCCTGGCCAGGCAAGCAGGGCTCTTGCAAGGTAGGAGTAGGATTGGACCTGCCTCAGAGGTGAGGCCAAATCTGTCAGCGGCACAGTTACACGCGTTCTCCAAGGTCTGTGCAGGAGCAGAGTCCCCCCCAAGAACCCAGGCTCCTTTTCCACCCGAGTGTCCTTCCTCTGAGGCCCCCTGCTTCCACTAGGCCCGGGGACAGGCTCATAGGTGCCATCTGATAATCAAGACTTGTTTTTAAAAAATAAAATAAAGAAGAAAGGACCATATTTATCTAGTTTCCTTGGTTCATAAGAGATTGAAATAACTCAAGAAAAACTCAGCTTAAGAGTAAGGGGGGGGGGCGCTGTGGCATATCGGGTAAAGCCACCACCTATAGTGCCAGCATGCTATATGAGTGCCGGTTCTAGCCCTAGCTGTTCTACTTCCGATCCAGCTCTCTGCTATGACCTGGGAAAAAGCAGTGGAAAACAGCCCAAGTGCTTGGGTCCTTGCACCCACGTGGGAGACCCGGAAGAAGCTCCAGGCTCCTGGATTCGGATCAGTACAGCTCTGGCCATTGCGGCCATTTGGGGAGTGAACCAGTAGATGGAAGACCTCTCTCTCTCACTCTCTGCCTCTGCCTCTCTGTAACTTTCTGCCTTTCAATTAAATAAATAAATCTTAAAAAATAAATAAATAGGCCGGCGCCGCGGCTCACTAGGCTAATCCTCCGCCTAGCGGCGCCGGCACACCGGGTTCTAGTCCCGGTTGGGGCGCCGGATTCTGTCCCGGTTGCCCCTCTTCCAGGCCAGCCCTCTGCTGTGGCCCGGGAGTGCAGTGGAGGATGGCCCAGGTGCTTGGGCCCTGCACCCCATGGGAGACCAGGAAAAGCACCTGGCTCCTGGCTCCTGCCATCGGATCAGCGCGGTGCGCCGGCCACATCGCGCTGGCCGCGGCGGCCATTGGAGGGTGAACCAACGGCAAAGGAAGACCTTTCTCTCTGTCTCTCTCTCTCACTGTCCACTCTGCCTGTCAAAAATAAAAAAAAAAAAATAAATAAATAAATAAAAGGGAGGGGGTGAAGGTATCGGCTCACACAAGTCCCGGTGGCTTCAGGAGGGCCTGCACAGCGAGGTCCTGGGGCATTGTCCTCGATCTCTCGGCTCTGCTGCAGGGAGAGGGAGAGATCATAACCTCCACAGACGGCCTCCGGTGGCTTCTCACTCACATCGGGACCCATCTCCGTCACATGTCCACACCTGACGCAACACCAAGCCGGATGCAGGCCTCCTCTCCAGAGCCAGCCCACCCGGAAGGAAAGTAGAGTTCAGAGCAGGGCAGCTCGAGATCAGGGGGCAAGGCTTTGTGGGACTTGCCGATTTGTTTCAGCCTCTGCTTCTGGCCATGTGTGTCCCGTCTCGATGCCTGGCCCATGCTCCCTGGCACATCAACTGTGGGCACTTTTAAAAGTGTGTGGAAATGGCATCACGAGGGCTGTTCACAGTGGTGCAAATGCCCGTGGCCCCTGCA